CTACAAGAGAGAGAAAAAAGACTGTGTGCTTCAAACCAAAGCAATCAACTTCTTATGTAATTGGAAACTTCTCTGTGGCAGGGACAGAGGCTGATTAACTCCTGGCACCTTCGAAAAAGATTGCTTTCTGTCTACAAGGAGCACGGCTTATTGTAAAATATTACTTCTCTGAAGCCAAAAGCTTTGCTTTAGCATCACATTAGCCTGCAAATGCACACCTAAGACATTTCACAATCAATGGGTCAACAAAAGAAATAGATGTGAATGGGCTCTCCCATACCCCTCATCCCTTAGAAACCCTTGCTAAGCTATAAATTATTCAGAAACTTAATACTTTTAATTAACATTTTGGAATACTTTTTGTGATTTAGATTTAATTTTAAACCGTAGCTTAATCCTGCAGTTTGGAACACAGACAAGTATTTAGTGGAACAGCATTCAAACCAGCGAAGTTTCTTATTGAATTGCACTTTCAAAACAAGACACACTTATAGAGCTTCAAAAATTCTCAGAAGCAAGCTACAAGTGTCCTGCGGTCTCTGCATTGAGTCCTTCCCCTGGAAACGGTTTTTGCATCTCTTCCAGCGGTCACTCTCATTCCAGGCAAGTCTAGCTTGTAGGTACAAAAAATGAGCATTGAAAGCTGGCAGGAATTACTGCCTTCTCAAATGGTGTCACAATAATTTCAGCTCCATATTATTCACCTTATAACCTGCAGCTACACAAAGCCAAGCAACAGGCACCCTTCAGTCTTGGATTATATAAACCCTTTTCAGAGGACAAAATTCATGTAAGGGAATACACATGAAGAGGGAATAGGATCATTGTGGCAAGGCCCGTCCCTTACATACATTTGTCTGAAGACCTACTCTAATATTCTAATATTTTTGGCACCACCAAGATAAGGTAAAGCATTTTAGTGACTTCTCTCTGATTGGCCAGATATTACCTGTGATCCTGGCAGAACAGATACGATCTCAGTGACAGCTTCTCATAGTTCTACAGCTTAACCCCAGCTCATACTTTACAATGTACAATGCAACCGACTGTATCCTAGGAACACAGGGTTGTGGCCAACTAACTTTTACTCACAGTATACCCATTGGAATTAATGGATCTAAGTCAATCATGTCCAGTCATTGCAATGGGTCTCTTCTGAGTTTTACCAATACTTGGTATAATCCACTGGAAGTTGCCTTATTCCAAATTAGACCTTTGGGCCACCCAGCTTTGTAGGGTCTACACTGACCAGCACGGGCTCTTCTGCATACAAGTCTGATGCTCTACCACTGAACAAAGCAACCCTTCCACATCTTGAGAGTAGCTCTTTGACATAAAGAATAAATGTCATCTGGTGGATTCAGCACAGGAGGCCACACAGGAGAGAAACAACAGGCTGCATAGATACCAGCTGCTTCTCAGTTGTTAAGTTTAAACATCCAGTCTGAGACGTAGCCTGGTCATAGACAAAAAAGAGGGGCTTCAGTTTGTTTAATCTATGTGGACTCTAAAAAGAAAAAAGGAAGAAGCTGTTGCTGAATGAAACATTTGCTCATTGATAGATGCAAAGGCTAGAGCAAGGCCTTTTAGGACTGCATTTTAAAACAAGGGAATACACAATAGTTTCAGGTTTGCACAAGCTCTGCTGTGATGGCAGGAAGTGATGGTGACAACAAAAACAAAATCAGGGTTGCGTGAGCCCAGGCGATGGAATGCACGGATTCTGGAAAGACAGATAGTTAACTCAGTGAAGCAAAGATCCTTTGACCTGCAATCCCCCCACCACTATGAGAGAGTGTTGTAACGAGGGCAAAGTTCAGTGGAAGCATAAAGGAAGGCTGGAAAACACATGGATGTAGGCAGTGAATGACCAGGCAGCAAGAAGAGACTTAAAGGGACAACGAGTTGAATAAGACCGTCATGGCCTCTTAATTGCTCCAGCTTATATCCTAGCACAGATGTGGAAACCAGTCCAGGCAAAGATACGTAACTGAGCCTAAAAGTGATGGCAAGATGCTGTGTAATTAAATCTGCAGAGTAGCAGATGCTGTGCTACCAGCTCTTTCTTGGATCCCTGCAGTGTCTTCACACCCTCTTCTGCTCCTACAAATGACCCACTATCACTTTTCTGTTCCTCCTCAAGTTTGAACAGCTTCTCAGACTGCAAATGTTTCTTCTCCCTTTTATCTTTTGGGCCCCAGCAGTGCTTGAAAAACTAATTGCTCACCACTTGAACTTGTCAAGGCTGCCAACACCCGGATCTTCTGACATGTAGAAACTAGGGCTGCAGTCTCTACCTTCAAGAGCTGCAGAACAGTTATCATTTTATCTCCAAGTTGGAAAAAAGTTACACCTGTTGAATTTCTACTATTGTTCAATACACACGAGCCCTGCTGGACCATCATGCCTGTGAGTCCTGGAAGACCTGCTCCTTGCCTAGCAGGCCTTTTCCCACCTAGTTTGGGAGGGCAGGGCCCTGACAGACTCCAACTACAAAAGCTGAGGCTGCTGAACAGAATCTTGGGTTGAGCGTTGTTCAGGGATTTTTGTTGGGGAGCAGCTGTTGATGTTATCCTTTTGCATGTTTATTTTGGATGTTATGATTTATGTGGAAACTCTTCAATTTGGTTGTGTGCTTTTGGATATTTTGTTTATTGTTTAGGACTACTTTTGTTGCATTTGTAGTTATGCAATTTTTTTATATGTTGCAAGCTGCCTTGAGCATGGTTTTAAATTTGAAAAGGAGGCACACAAATAAAATGATTGACTGAAAAACCCAATATGAATGAGGCTTTATGATAACACCTTTTGTGGTGACCCAGGAGTATGTCCAAATCTGCTTGCTTAATGCTTGTTTATTGAAAATAATTTCTAAAAACACCAAAGATTCAGTGATACTCGCTTCTGAGTAAATGTATTTTGGAGGACTGGGTTGCACGTTCTATACCAGGGCTAGGGACCCACTGGGCCAAGGGCAAATGTGGCCCTCTGACCCTCTGTATTTGCCCCCCGCCCACCAGTGTATGGACCCTGGAAGGTTGTCCATGAATGAATGTGTCCTCCCTACCCCCGTTCTAGACTCTCAGTGCTGGACATTGGAGAGAGAACATGGCTTGCATGCAGAAGTTATCAGGTTAGATCCCTGGCATCTTCAGTTAAAAAGAACTGGATAACAATGAAAAGAGCCCTGACTGATAACCCAAAGAGTAGCACTGCCAGTCAGAGCTGATAATACTGAACTGGATGGACAATAAATTCTGAGCTGGTATAAGGCCCCTTCCTGGAAATAAATACCATAATCTGTTGTTTTGCTCTTGAAAAAGTAAATATGGAAAACCAGCTTCGTGATGTTATCCTCTCAACTGAACAGCCATTGCCGCTTGTTATAATTTTCTGGAGTGGCATTATGAAATGTGAAATGACATGAGCTGAATAGATAACTTGTGTTCGTGAAAAGGGGAGAGAGGGGAGGAGGAAATGAATTGACAGTAACCTGGCTTTCATGTCAGTGCACTCCCTAACGATGAGTAAGTCTGACAATGACGACTGTGAACTTCTGCTCTCAGGCAGCCTTTCAAAGCCAAGGAAGAGTCGAAAGCAGAGCTGTTTCTAGGATTCATCTTATCACAAGCAGTTGTTGTACGATACACTTGGGTACTGTGCGTGCTCAAAAGAAGTGGGGGAGGGAAAGCAAGAAAAAAAAGCCAGACACTGCAGGTTTCCTATGCACCCCCAGACTCTCATGCAAAGCATTTAGACCCCCCCCCCCAGTAAAGCCAATCTAAGCAACTGCCTGAAAGAGGAATAAACTTTCTCAAATACACACACACACACACACACACACACACACACACTGTGTACCAGCCACACACACATATGAAAATATGTGTATATGCCTGGCATGAAGACAGAATATTGTACAGATGTTAATGTGGGATGCCATAAGATGAACTGCAATAATGTTTAGGCCTGCTGCTGGAATACTTCCCTTTTGCATCCGTGTTATAACAGTTCCTCTCCACACGGCAGTCACAAAGTTATAAATATTAAAGGAATATGGATTGCTTAATCATCTGAAAGGGAAAAGGAAGGAGACTCCATTTGGAGGCATCTTTCGTTCAGAGGAAGTATTCTATACTAATAAATGCTTTAAACGCAATCAATATTTTTTTTCTTGAACAAGGGGGAGAAATGCACAGCATTTTTGATGTTTTAATCAATGCAGACTGTTGGAGGAATTAATATTATCTAACCTATTTGTCTTGGTATATCTTTCAAGTCTTGAAAGGGGGGGAGGCAAAAGAAAGGGAAATTAGGTTCCTCCCAAGCAGTGTGAAGTTTCTGTCTCCCAATCAGCTATTTGACCTTTGGTGGAAGTATAGCTAAGAAGGCTACTGTCTGTAGAAGTTTTAATATTCACAGTTCATAAAGCAGCAGTCCACCTTCTGACTGATGGCAGGTGTGAGTCACCAGAACACAGATGCCTCCTCGAATGCCCCTAAGAGTAGCCGGGGGCTTAACGATACATGATGTGTGTGACCTCAGTTGTTTGTTTTTAAAGCTCAAATTATGTATTTATTAGCTTTAAGCCTTGCCCTTACTCTCAAAGGAACCCAATACCATTACAAAGCAGTTGCATACACCTCTTTAGGGAAGTGGCACTGGGGTGAGGATCATAGAATTGTAGAGCTGGAAGAGACCACGAAGAAGAGAAGAAGAAGAGTTTGGATTTGATATCCTGCCTTTCACTCCCTTTAAGGAGTCTCAAAGCGGCTAACATTCTCCTTTCCCTTCCTCCCCCACAACAAACACTCTGTGAGGTGAGTGAGGCTGAGAGACTTCAGAGAAGTGTGACTGGCCCAAGGTCACCCAGCAGCTGCATGTGGAGGAGCGGAGACGCGAACCCGGTTCCCCAGATTACGAGACTACCGCTCTTAACCACTACACCACACTGGCTCTCACGAGAATCATCGAGTAACCCCCTGCAATGTAAAAGATCTTTTTGCCCAACGTGGGGCTCGAACCCACGACCTTGATATTAAGAGTCTCATGTTCTACTGACTGAGCTACGTATCTGTTCAGGGAAGTGGTACTGCGGTGAAGATGTTCAACCCCTTCTCACCATTCTGCTTCCTTGGCCTAACACACCTTCCGCAATTTGCTTCTTTGGGACAGGGCAGGGAACATACAGACACCTTACAAACGCCTGTGTGCTTCCCTCAAATATCATGGATCTCCCAAGCTGCATTTAGTTTGTCCAAGAGAGTCCTTTTCTTGAATCAGGCGCTCATGCACTCAGTGTAGATAGTAAAGGCACGTGAAATAGTCTTCTGGCCAAGCTTCTCGGAGTTGGGGAATGGTCTTTCTCTGCAGACTTGCCAGTGCTAAACCTTGGACATCCTTTAGAAGTACTGGAAGACCTATTTATTTGGATTGGATTAGTTTTTGGCATCTGAGGTTAAGTCAGTCCGGACCTACGTGGATGTTGAAATTAACAACACTTAAAAAATAATAATATCCTCATGCTGATGTTGCTCCCAGCTGTGGCTCTGAACAGATGTCACAATTTTTTCAAGTGAAATTTGACAAAATATAACATGAAAATGAAAATGATCTGTATCTTGATACCCAACATGTTTGCTATCTCTGTGTAAGATGCCTTGGGGGGGGGGGGATTATATCTGAAGGGTGGGATATAAGCAAACAAAACTCTCTACTTGTAATTGTAGGGCAATTCCCAGGGTACGAATCTGAAAGATGTGGTGATTTGTGTACACTGTACACAGAAGACAGATTGCAATGGACATTTCTGTTTGGAGCAACAAAAAAACAATGCTGATTTCATACACCCATAAGAATTTGACAACAGAACTAAGTCTTCTGTACTCTTGAGTGGGTTCCATTCAGCACTGCCTGCATCTAACTCAGACTACATACACAAACTATATATTTAAAGCACATCCCTCCAAAGAATCCTGGGAACTCTAGTTTGCCCCTCACAGTTCGAAGCACCTTTAATAAACAACAGTTCCCATGATACTTTTTTGGGTGGGGCGGATGTGCTTTAAGTCATAGAGTAGGCCCACTGAAATCAATGTACTTATGTTAGTCAAGTCTATCAATTTCAATGGGTCAACTCTGTGTATGGCTTAGCTGGACATACCACCCAAGGTCTCACAATTTGTTAAATCTCCCTGCTTATATAAACTCACTGTAAATGTCCTGGCGATATTTTTTCAGACTCTCTTCCTTCTTGTTTGCAGTAACAACTATGGGTTAGAGAAGGCGCCTGGCTGGGATTTACTAAAGGAGGCAACACAGGAGAACCCAAAACTCAAGAGATGTAAGGTGCTAATTGTGTTTACAAACACAGGTTTCACTCAAGGGCTTTTAACCATACTACAAGAGTTATTTAAGTGCAATGACTTCATGTGTGCTGCTTAAATGTAACTGTTGGTCCTAACTGTGGATGTTGAATGTACTCTGTAAAAAGGCAATTACTGCTGCCAGGGCAGAAATCTGCCATCCGTTTAAAAGGAATGTACTGAAAGTGCAATCATAAAACTCTTGCATGTTATGGATTTGATTAAGATTTTACTCCCTTAGGATTCCCAATTGCACAATAACAGGAGTTCCTCAGATTTTAAATACCACAGACAGGAACAGATTTCACTAAAAACAGATGTGGAACCTTTGGGTTGGCGTTCTTACTAGTTTTGAGAGCTAAAACTTTGCTGGTAATTGATAGCTATTAACATGTTTGTTGTTTAGGTTACCGAAATGGAAATACTACACTGCTCCCCCTCCCATGAAAGGATATGTTAATGAGGGGAGTTCGGAAATATATTTCAACTTCTGTTCCTTTTTCTGGATTAAATTAAAGCATTGTTGTGGAGCAGGGGGGTGGTGGAATATCAATAATGCTATTTCACTATAAAAAAAGAATTGAAATAGAAGCAGAAGATTAAAAAAAAAAAATCAAACAGGTTTTGGTCAAGGGAGTAGAATAGAACAGCATTTGTTGCATTAAGGAAGTAAATAACGCTGCTTTCGCATTTTGCCCCTAAAGGAAATTTGGAGGTCCTCCCTCCAAATGGGCCAACATGGTTACTTATGGCTTTTGGATGTAACAGAAACAAGATTTATTTTTGGTAGGCCCTTCACACATGCTATTCTGCATATCTTTAGTTCCCCTTCTTGGCACTGTTAAGATGGGAAACATATGCTGGATTCAGTCTGCTATACTGCCAGTACACCACCCACACACAGGAAGATCCCAAGAGATCAGGGCCTTGCTTTGCATTCCCCCATGGCATGCCAATATGGGCACTCAGGTCAATGTACACTTACTGCCAAGTAAACATGCTCTCCATGCGCCACATCCTGCCCCTTCCCTCAGTGCTTTAAGGATCAATGCAACCTGCTGGTAATAAGCATATGTGGTTTTTGGGTTTTTTTGCTAAGGAGATTAGAACACAACCAGCTGCCTCTATTTTTCTGCTCTTTCCACTTTTCGCTTCCCTAGTTGCTTCCAGAAGTCTACGTTTCATTTCTGCACCCACGAGAAGCGATTCTGCTGCTGCCGTTACCACCAGTTTCACAGGAAGTCTGGGCTGCTTGGCAGGGGGTTGGACTCGATGGCCCTTGTGGTCTCTTCCAACTCTATGATTCTATGATTCTATGACTGTACCTGAAACCATCCAACCAACTACGCTATCATTGGAGGAATGCTGCCTGGACAACCATGGACATAGTTATCAGATATGAATAGGATTCCTAGATACACATCTCTAGTGCCCACTTCTGACCTCTAAGGCAGTTAGTGCATGCACAGGTGAATAATATCCATGGCAGTGTGAGATAATTCTGTACTAGCAGAAGATAGATCACTATTGTTGTTGTTGTTGTTGTTGTTGTTGTTGTTGTTGTTGTTGCAGCCGCAGCTGAGGACTCCCAAGGACACCTTAAGAACAGCATCTAATATTTACAGGACTTTGATGCTCTTGTGTATATTTGCATCACTCACAATTGCACTCTAATCTAGGTACTATATTTTGCATTACCCAAGATACAGCATTACTGGTTTTGGCAGTACAAAGAAGAGACCTCAGGAACTTACTGCAGATTTTTGTAAGCCCCACTCAGTATTACACTCCCTTAATCTGCTGCCGGAGGTACTGGACTTGCTCAGCCTTGTAATGAGGCCACACTTGAAATACATTTCCATTCATTTTGTAATGAACTTTTTGCATATTTGCTACCTCCAGTCTTCTCTTCCTTTCAAAATTATTTTCACTTTCCTGCTGCCATCGGTTTTTTTTTTTTTGCTGCCATGTGAACCTCTTGACTTCATCTAAATGCTTGCTTAGAGCAAGCTACAGGGAGAAATTACAACTTGCAAGTTAGATTTCTGGCTCTCTTTTACTAAATTGTGGAGCGGGGAATATGGAAGCGGGTTTTCTTTTAAAAAGAAGTGGGAATAAAAATATGGAATGCAATTTTTATGTTTTCTACACTTCTGTGAAGATAAGTGACAGCAATTAACGCCAACGTCGTTTGATTTATAGTCAAGGTTTGCTTAATTTCCCTGCTACTTATTCCTTGGGAGTTAGAATCAACTGATTTCTGTTTGCTACGGTGAAGTGTGATTAAGTTTATCATTTACAATTAACTGGTTTTCAGCAGCTCAGGATGTGCTGAGGCCTCATAAGCTGGACACCTGAGAGTCCCATTGTGTACCAAAGGATCAGGAATGAAAGATTTCCCCTGACTTTCTTCCCCTGGCTGATTACCACTCAACATGTTTTTAAGCTTTCTTGCAGACAGCAAACCTCAGAGGAAACACTGATGCGAACGCTCTTATTGATGGTTAATGATGCATTATTCTTATATGTCAGCTCAATATTTCCTATGGAAAACAATAAAAGCCCGAAGAATGCCCCAGTTATTTAAACTACTGGAAGCTTTCAATACTGCATTATTAATCTAACAAATGTGAACATTTCTCTCCTGGCTCCTGCTGTCATCAACTGCATTTAGACCACAATTAAAGAGGAAAGTGGAGATTCTAATTAAACAGTAGAGGGGGGAAATGTTCTGATATTTATGATAACTGGGTCTTTGAATTCTTAACAAACTCCCTTTTGTAAAACAAAAAATAACAATTGAACAACCCAGCAGAATTCATTGGGTTGAATTCTCTAACAAATAATTTTAATGTGGCCATAAATGATAGCGAAATGGTAGGTCTGGTTACACAACAGTACTAGAAAATTACTCAGGTAGAGAAGTGCTTACTGCTCACTTGAACAAAATGGATCAAGCATAAAATGAATTATTTCAAAGGTGTAGGAGTGAGGTAAGGTGGTGAAAAGGAAGAGGAGGCACCAAATCTTGTAAATATCTCCTCTATCCTCCTCTGCAGAAATAAGAATATCAATTCCCATTCTGTGTGTGGGGGGTGGGGGACAAAAATATATGAATGAATATTTCTGCATTCATTTTTTAACAGCAGCTGTATGGCACCGCATCAGAAACCGACTCTCAAAACCAGGATAGGTCATAAGTATATTCAGATACAGCTTTGTACAATGGTACAAAGAACCTGCTCCTTGGTGGAGAGGAATGGGGGAAAGTGTTAAGAAAATTCACACCCTGACACATGGTCCTGAACTGGGGCCAAAATGTGGCTTTCATCTCAGCATCTTAATCAGAATTCTCTGCATATGAGTAGAAATATGTTTTAATTTTTCTAAAAAGGTACATATGACATATGGTTCAGTGGGTGAATACTGACAATTGCTTACCACAATGTACATGTAACCATTAGATAAATTGGTTTTCTGAACCATGCTGCCAAATGGAATGGGGAATATCACTGAACAACAGGCAGACTTAAATAGCCTTAATTTTATTTATTGCACCTTGGCCCTTAAATTTTCTGTGTTCAGGATTTCATACTCCTTAATTTCAGAACTTTTTTACACTTTACAAAGGCAATTGCAATTTTTGCCTTATACTCTCTGGGTGGTATTCAACTTAGTTTTACTCAGGGTAAAGGTAAAGGTAAAGGGACCCCTGACCATTAGGTCCAGTCGTGGCCAACTCTGGGGTTGCGGTGCTCATCTCACTTTATTGGCTGAGGGAGCCAGCGTACAGCTTCCGGGTCATGTGGCCAGCATGACTAAGCCGCTTCTGGCGAACCAGAGCAGTGCACGGAAACGCCATTTACCTTCCCGCCAAAGCGGTACCTATTTATCTACTTGCACTTTGACCTGCTTTCGAACTGCTAGATTGGCAGGAGCAGGGACTGAGCAACAGGAGCTCACCCCGTTGCGGGGATTCAAACCACCAACCTTCTGATCGGCAAGTCCTAGGCTCTGTGGTTTAACCCATAGCACCACCTGCGTCCTTTTTTTACTCAGGGTAGAGCCACTGAAATTAATAGTCCTAACTTAGTCATGTTCATTAGTTTCAATGTGTCTACTCTGCAGTAAAAGTTGAATACCACTCCCTGGTTCCACACTGTCTTAGTGGTCTACCTATGGGTCTAATGTTCTGGTGTACAGAAAACAATAGGCTTATCTCATTTTTACTTTAAATTTTGCGAAAGATACAGACCTTCCAAGGTGAAATTCTCACTCAACTCCTCATGGCACCAAGTAGCTATTGAGTACTGTTCTTGTGAAAGCTACCACAGGCTGCTCAGCAGACCATTTCACTTTAAGTGCTTGTTAAACTAATATTGACTTTTCCGACTAAACCAAAACCTCTGTTATTTGTGCCCAGAAAAATGAAGAGGGGAAAAGCCATGCAGGAAGTGAAAGAATGCATCTTCTTGACCTTTCCTTTCTCCACCTCATACCTAGTCTATTTGTAATAAACATCTAACGGGGGAGTTGAAATATTCATGCCTAGGACTCTGTGTTATGCAGGAATTTTTTTTCACTCTATACACTGGTGCATTTACCTTTAAAATGACTTTGCCTCTCCTGCTTTCTTTGAAACACCCCACCAGAGTTGTAATTTTTACAGATGTGGGTTGGTTGTCTTTCATACCTGTATCCATTCTCTGTTGGAATCTTCTCCAGGCGTCCACCCATTTTCAGGGTAATTTAATCTAGACCTTTCAGAAGACCAGTTGGTGCTATACTGGGAAGAGGCACTGATTTGGTCAGAATGTATTTCACCAGATTCCATACCAAGAGGTTCAGCACACTGGAAATCTGAAAATAACAATGCTGTCAGTAGCACATAAGGTTCACAAAATCCAAAATAGCTATGACAAGAAGCAGTGGCTGCAATCCATAGCCCAATGAAGACAATGGCAAAGTAACGCTGAAATTAATATCTCAGTATGTCACCCTTTCCTGCTTTGAAGGGGATGCCCAAGTACTGTGACGTGTGACTTTATCAAATGAGGCCATAGCAGTTCTTCTACTGCTGACAATTGTGGTCAAGTTTTTGAAAGCACCCAAACACAGTGGAAGGCACAAACCAATGCAAGAACTACTCATCTTGACTCTATGTGTCTAGCCTCCTTGGTTGTGTGTTTGTAGAAATATAGGGCTATAAAGATCAGAAATGATACATGAATACAAAGTCATGGGGGGCCTTTGCTGGAAGCTCTTCATGTTCTTTACGTCAGACTTATGTCATAAATCACTCTAATATCACAAAATTTCTGAAATGTTGGCAAGTTTTGAAATAATCAAGGTATATAACCATGGTAGCCCAGCATGTGCAATTTCCATTGCAAGAAAAAAGGGGTGAGTATTCTGAGAGAGAGAGGATAATGGACTAAATTACCCCATCTTTCCTTCAAAAAACTCAAGGTGGTGAACACATGCTGCTCCCCATTTAATCCACACAACAACCAAATGAGGCATATTAGTGTTAGATATGGTGATTGGCCCAAGGGCACCCAGTAAGCTTGTGGCTTAAGCATGGATTTGAACCAGACCTCCTTGTCAAAAGTCTAGCTCTCTACCATGCTGCCTCCATATTTTACTTATACAGTAAACTTCAGCTTTAAAAGCTGTTGCTCTAGTCTTCACATACTCCCTTTACGTGGGATATAAAACAGGCCTGTCTGTATGATCAGCATTAAATTCAGACCAAAAAAATGAATTAAATGTTAACAAGAGATGTGGAATAAAATGTTTTAAAAATCAGAAAGCGGCCGTGATGTGACAGGGGTATGATTAGCCTTGTATCCCCTACAATTTTAATTCTATTTGAAGGTTTAAAAACACACCCATGACCAAAAATGAGATCTAGTCGATCAGCATTTTCCCTGAGGGAAACAATTCTGTGAAGTCAAACAGAAAAATTACAACTGGCTTTTAAGAGACATTATGAAGAGGCAAGTCAGACTTTGCTATGCTGCAGAATCTCCATTTGAAATGTTGAATTTTGTACAGATGTCGGCTATTGTTTTGATCAAAGACAATACAAGCGGCTCTGTAGATGAGGTATTAAAAGCTTGGATCTGCTGGGCAAGAGTCAAGAGCTCCTGCATAGTTTACTACTACACTTGTTATTTATAATTGCATTTATATCCCACTTTTCCTCCAAGGAGCTCAATGTGGCATCAGTGGTTCTACCCTCTCTCCAGCTGATCTTTACAATAACTCTGCAAAGTAGCTTAGCCTGAGAGACAGTGGCCAGCCCAAATGAGCTTCATGGCTGAGTCAGGATTTGAACTCTGGTTTCCCAAGTCCTAGCCCTAACCTAACTCACTAATCACTACGACACTCTAGCTCTGGGTGGGAATTCACCATCCCTGGATAGTCGACAGATTGTCAGATGCTGGAGCAGCTCCCCCTGTCACATCAACATTTCTTTCAGTGGATTTTGACCCTCAGACCTCTCTTCTTGCCTTCGCAGAAATGAGGTGCCAAACACAGACTGCAATGTTAGACGAAATGTTGTGTACATTAAATCGGTATTTTATATTGTGGCTGTATATATGCGGTAGTTTAAAGTGGATGAACGCCATCCACACAACGTTGTAGTCATCCAAGTAGCATTCTGCATCTCCCAACCATTTAACCAGGATTTTCCTGATACTCGGATAACGTTATTAGGAGCAGAATTCTATTTAAAAAATCGTACGCAATCCAGCTGTGGACATACTTCTAGACTTCTTGGTCTGGATGTTATTGTTTAGATCTACTCCTCTAAATTTCTACAGGGAAGGGAGAATGTCTCCACAACGTCGTGACTTTTTAGACAAATAAATTTGAGCGGAAATGTCTTCTCCTGCCCTTGGGTGGTTGCTTTAAAAACAGATGCACAAAGGGCTCTTATTTATCTAAGGCTTCTTTAAATATTTCATGCAGCACCCAGCAGGTGAGGAGACAGGACAGAGAGTATTCAGCACACAGCTCTGTAGGATGGATAAACACTGACCTTCCGACACACTGTTCTGCAGGACAGTGTAGTTTGCAGAGAATCCTTCTTTTGCTATTGCGCTGTCAGTGTAGAAAACCATGGAAAGAATGCCGGTTGAAGAGCGGACACGGCCTGGTGTGTTTTGCCCACAGTATCGGCCTATGTGAGGACCAACTGAAAGTAAACAAGAGCACAACGGTGAAGTCTCCACAACAAAAGAAGATGGCATTTTATGCACACCCGAAGAGAGGCCTCACAGAAAATTGGAAACGCCCTGAATTTGGCATCTCTTGCCCCCCTCCAGATGTTGTTATTGTGCATTCATGATGATTTCTGCTCATGATGCTTTTGGAGCAATCATATGTGATCCTACATTCAAAACTGTTTGTGCCTGCAGAAACATACCATCCAACACCGGAATGAGGCAAATTGGGACATGACCTCAATGGAGGCTGCGCCCCCCATCTTACTTTGGCCCTGCTCCTGCCCTCTCTTAGCTCCCTCCCTCCCTCTTACCTTCACCTTCCTCCTCGGCCACTGCAGCCACCACTAGTGTACTTTCAGAAGCCAGCACTGGGGCGGCTTCTGTAAATCTGGGATGCCCCACTTAAAATGGGACAGTTGCAAGGTATGCAAACATTTGTTGGGGTGTGTGCCATACTGCTTCATTTCCCATCAGTGCATGCCCTGCAGCTTCCTGCTGAAATCCTGTAACATTTTATACCACGAATGTTTGGAAGCACCTCAAAACAACTAATAAAGCCATATCAGCCCATCACTAATGCACTGTTACTGTGTCAAGAACATGTTGCAGAATATATCCACAATGATACACCAGCTATTAACCAAAACAATTTATAGTTCCATCCTACCACAAACCCTCTCTCCTACAGTATTTACTTATTTTTTAAAAAATATTTACAGACTGCAATATATATCAGAATGGTGCACAAGAATACCTATGTAAAATAAAAGCCACATAAAAATTTGTGACTGTCAGCTGTTATGGAAATTCTCTTAATTGACTGCATAAGTTTGGGGATCTGGAAATGATTTCAGCAGGCATTTAAAGGTTAAAACAGAAGGCACCAACCAACAGTATGGGGGAAGGGACATAGCTCAGTGGTGGAGCATCTGCTTTGCACGCAGAAGGTCCCAAGTTCAATCCCCAGCATCTCCAGGTAGGACTGGGAGAGAACCCGGTCAGAAACCCTGGGGAGCTGCTTCCAATCAGCATAGGCATTACTGAGCTAGAGGGATCAATGGCCTGACTCAGTATAAGCCAGCATCCTGTACTCCAGTACAAAAACCCGGGGGGAAATGGCAACATACATTTATAGGGGGGGGGGGAATTATGATCACGATTGTTAGTAAAAAGGCACACAGTTACAAGCACAAAGGAACTTTTGCCAACAAAACAAAGGGGTCCAGCTGGTCCAGCCTGCACTACTAGTTCCGTGAAATAAAGCTCACCATCCATACATGAGAAATGAGAACACAGTCAAGACTCAGTGAACAAGGCAATGGGAAGGAAAGGTGAATCGCACTGAAACAAACAGAAACTCAGGCATACACAGGACATAAACACAGACTGAACAGAAGGGCAACCTCTTAAATTGGATCACAAGAATGCATTGAACATAACCTTGCAGTAAAGCAACATCAGAACATTATGGTTGCATGCATATGGTAAAGTAGCACCACAGCTTCAATATAAACACTAATTAGTGACATGGCAAATTAAAAAGTTGCACACTGTCATTTCCCATGTCACTAATCAGTGCTTATATATAATGATGTGATATCTTTATATGGTATGCAACCTCCTTGTTTGCTTTGGTGTGTCTAGGTGACATCTTGATGCCAGTTTATCACACTGGTATGTTGCATACATTCTGGTTTCAAGAGGTTGCCCTTTTGTTATTCTGCTTGTGTTTACAACCGTGAATTGCTGGCTGTGCCTCTGCAGGATATGGTATACTTGAGCATCTATGCTCATTCATTAGTATGTTCACAGGGCAAGCTGTCATGGATTGTTCAGTAAATTCAGAGAAATGCCTAAGTGATTACAATTGCCCAGTAATCAATGGCTCCCTCCTTCCCTTGCACTGTCCATTCCTATTTGTGCTTTCAACAGCTTCCAGCTTGAAGCATCCCTCCTCTGCTCATATTGTGGCCTGTGCCACCAAGAAAATAATTCACTTTGAGTATGAAATATTTCCTTTCCATTATGGTAATATCCCTCAGAGGCATTCACCAAAGATATATGCCAGTGAAATCACCTCTGGAAGTTTAAGAACAACAAATCTTTTGCTAGTAAAAAAAAAATAAAAATCTATAACCAGATTGGCTGAACTTCCTAAGCCTAAGAGCCTCTTACCACAATTTCCATATGGCTGAGAGCCAAAAAGCACAGATTCTGTTCCTTCCCAGGCATTTGCTTCTCTGCTCGCAAGAACAAAATCAGCACTCATTGCCTCTTCTCCTGGAGTAGATTTCCCCATAAGTCCCCAAGTCCTACCACAGCTTCTGTACAAGCTGTTCCAGTCGTGCTTTTCATAGTCCCCTCACATCCACCCTTCTCTCCCTGCCTCACCTCCTTCAGCCAAAGTGTTTCTGCTTACCCTTTTCTCTCAATTCCACGGGCTCCCTGCAAATTTCAAATACCACTGAAAACAGTGGGTGGCCAGCATTTAAACACACAACATATTCAAAACACATGGCTTGCCCCAGAGAATACTGTGAACTGCAGTCTCCTGCTCAAAGATGTATAGTTCTCAGTACCCTTAACAAACAATTGTTCCCAGGATTCGTGTGCTTTAAATGTATGGTGCACAGACACCATTATTCTATGCCACGTTTTCCAGCCTGGTACTCTACTGATGCAACTCCCATCATGTATGATCCTTGGCCGTTCTGGCCAGACCTGATGGGAATTGCAATCCAAAATATCTGGAGGGCACCAGTTTGCATAAAGCTACTGTTCTCTGTTGCGTACTAATGGTAACTCTTTAACTGCAAGACAGAAACTCATCCAGGGTATGTAGGTATGGTTACGAAACTCTCCCTGCAATAAGGTGAGATCACAAGTAACTGCTGCTTGTCCTCACAGCAGAAGAGGGGAAATCCCCATAAGAAAACTGCTAGGACATAGAAAAGGCAATAGATTTAGTGGCTGTTAAAAAAAAGAAAAGGTAAAGGACTCCTGACAGTTAAGTCCAGTCGCAGACGACTCGGGTTGCGGCGTTCATCTCGCTTTACAGGCCGAGGGAGCCAGTGTTTGTCCACAGACAGTTTTTCCGGGTCATGTGGCGAGCATGACTAAGCCGCTTCTGGTGCAACAGAACACCGAAACCAGAGCAGCGCACGGAAACCCTGTTTACCTTCCCGCCGGAGTGGTACCTATTTATCTACTTGCACTTTTTGGCATGCTTTCGAACTGTTAGGTTGGCAGGAGCTGGGCCTGAGCAACGGGAGCTCACCCTGCGGTGGGGATTCAAACCACCGAACTTCTGATCGGCAAGCCCAAGAGGCTCAGTGGTTTAGACTACAGCGACACCCGCATCCCACTTAGTGGCTGTTAGTGTATGTGAAGAAGCGATGAGGAAAAAGATGAATAGCAAGACAGAGCCAACAGTTTAACCATGAGTGATAAGCAGATTCAAACAGACTTAATAGTCTGTTTAAAATTTGGCAATGCCCACACGTGTGCACAGCTATGGCACCGAGGCAGACTGCTGCTGCTGTTACAGTGGTCTGTGATGGCCCAGAAATAAAAGGCATGTCCAGAACTTACACCGATAGCCTCTGCACTCATTTTGCATGTTTTTGTTTTTGTTTACTTTTTAATTAAGTTTACTAGGACCTATGTTGTTTTTCATATGATGCCCATACGTAACAGAAAGGTTTGGAAAAGCAAGGAAGGGAGGCTGCTTTGTAATTTAGGGAGGCGTATGGCACTGTGTGTATGGCAGCTTAACATGCACCACCCCAAGGCACTGCAAGTGTCTGGCAACTTTTGATGGAGCCATGGAAGTCTCTTCTGCTTTTTAAATCTCCCACGAAAAGGACTCTGGGGTTTTGTGTGTTTTATCTTGAATCTGACTAGTCAGCATCTGGCCTTTTCCTCTCATTGTTTCCCCTCCTTCTGTCCAATGGGCAAACATCTGTGACTTTGCTCCTTTTCCATTAGGCCCTTTGATCACTGCAGCCATTGACCTTAATGAGGAGGAGAAACGAAGCCACTATAATTCCATACCCTGGTACTTATTCTGAGCCACCCTCTTCACCCCCACCCCATTTCCTGCAAGGATGCTTCCTTTGAAATAGCAAACAGAAGGGAACTTGTTTCAAAGCAGATTCACACTTTTGAGATTCAGCGTGACTCATGGGTTCATACTTTCTTTAAGACACATACATGGTAATTTAAAATTTTATTTGTCTGAATACTGCCACTAGATATCATGGCTGTGGGCTTGTCATCTAGCTGTGTAAATACAGCAGCCGAAAGCTTTGCAGACTATGATATAAAGGGGTATTGAATTTTCTTACACAACATGTAAGACTTTGCCTACTGAGTTAATGCAATATTGATCTGACCTGAACTGGATAAAATAGAGGTTTTTAGTCTTCCTGTATAAATACAGAGCATTCTTAAACATCTCTCTCTCTCTCTCTCTCTCTCTCTCTTCCAATTTCAAGCTTTCAAACTGGCGAATGACAATAAATTACTTAATAATGTGCAAAAGGCGACCACACTAAATGGTTCACTGTGGAGAAAACATCTTGACCAATAATTCATGAGATTATATCACTACCTGCTTAGCTAGAATGTGTCAGTCTTTCTTGAAGGCTCCTATTAATCTTTCCTTGCCTTGTAATTTGTGAGCGAAGGGTCAAATGGATTCCAGCACAACAAATCTACTTGTAGCTGTTTAAATTGGAACTATAGAGTGTCTGGGACCCATTTGAAGCTGCTATTAGAAATTATTTTATTTCGAGATGTTTGGTCCTGTTCTGGTAGCATCAGTCCTGGAGCTGTGTGTTTATGAGATTCTGAACTTTCATGTATGGAAATGTAAAGTGAAAATGTCATTTGTTCATTATTATTAATTTGATCTAAGATATTATCATCATGTAAAGAACAATTACACTGCATAAAAACAGACATTTGCAATTTTTCAACATTTTGATTGAGAGAATGTGTTAGCTAGCCACCTTTAGTGAAAAGCAGAGTGCAATGCGATTAAAGCTCCACTGACTTAAAGGAGCAATTAGACACGTGCTTATCAGTGGAGTTTAGACTTTCTTATGGCAGGGGTGGAGAACTCCTGTGCCCTGTAGATGTTGCTGTATTACCACTTCCATTATCCTGACCAAGGCTATACCGACTGAAGTTGATGGGAGTTAGGAGTCCAACATGTTCTAAATCCAGGTCATATGGACTAATTGCACCAATGCAAGCATGCAGTTCTGCATTAGCAAAGGCTGTCCATTTCCCTCCAAGAGCAAAAAAGCACCCCATATGGCAGGGAAGCCCTTATGCGAGTAAGGAGTCTTTCTCTCCATAGAATAATATAAAGAACTCCTTTATGAGCAGGGCTTTGGAGAACATCCATGCTGTTCCAAAGTTGAAGCAGCGGGAATATTTTCAGAGCAATCTTATATGTGTCCACTACTGAGTTTAACTGAGCTTACTCCTAGCTAAGTGTGTATAGGATTGCAGGATCCCAGCACCCTACTTGACATGGATCAGCCAGAGCCAGTGTGGCAGATGGTCAACCAGACAAAGCTTCAGGATCCCTACACATACAAGATCCCTCTCCTTTCAGGAGCAGGGAGCTAGGAACACAGCAGTGAGAGAGTTATGCAGAGCCAGCAATGTAGATACATTTAGCCCAAGCGTCCTGTGTCTGCTCCGATGTTAAAATGGGGCTTCTCTTTCAGGGCTTTCTCCCTGGTAGATGGCTACTCCACAAATATCCCCCCTTTCAAACTCAAGCCTCTGCTTTAGGTTCTGACGGAGTGGCCATGTGATCCATTAAGAAGAGCCACCAAAGATCAAGATCCTATGATTCTATTCCCCTTTCTGTGGTGCATGTGATGGAATGTTTTCTCCTATAATTTTGTTTCTGCCATTGATATTGAAATTAATCCCAAGGCCATCCCTAGACATTTTAT